CGCTTACGTGTTTCATATAACATCGGATCGTTGCTGGCTGTCACTGGGTTATGTTGACCAAATGTCACCTGTGAACGACATATTATATCTCTAAAACAAATTCGATATGAAACATGGACCCAACATTTGTTTGTTTCCATATTTTATTTGTTTTTAGTTTTGTTTATTTTTCGATTTGGATGTGCGTGTTGTTACTCAGTGTTCCATATGTCGTATCTCGCCCGTCATGATAAACCTATGATCATACTGCGCCAAGGCAATATTAGTGCACGGAATCGTTAATATTATAGCACATTACAAATTCTCGGTGACAAATGTCGTACCATTACGTACATTAAAATAAGTAAATTGTAAAGCAAATATTCCTACCAGACATCGTGGATCACAAATCTGTTGACTTTGTGTTGAGTACGGTAACGGCATATAAATTTGATCTGGCCAACAGTAGTCATGACACTCGTCACTGAAAAACATGTCCATGTCGTAATCGCAAACTCTTGTAGGATATCGAAGACTGGCGTATTTTTCCAGACAGGTACTTCTCAGTTTGTGTTCAAATGTCACTTCTCCAAGATAATAATTATGGCAAGACACGCATGCTCCGTGCAGAAAATTTCACTGTTTGAAATTTGACAATGTTCTATTGTGACCTGCCTAGCGACGACGATTGTTCTTTCGCGACCAACGAAACGCGAGGACTGGAATAGATTTGCGCCCTCTAGCGTTCTCATCACGTCCCGACACGTCTCCCGACGCACAGACTGACGCGTGGTCCCGATGTTTGTCTCAGCGTTCGCTGTGGTTTCGTGCGCCATGACACCTGAGACGGGAAGCAACCAAGTCCCAACGTTCAAACTCATAGTTGCTGTCGACATAGGAAGTAAAGTAAGCAAATAACACCGAATAAACGGCAAGGTAAAGACTATGTCTAATTATAGTAAACACATACTGCGTGCGTGACTCGAACCGGCGCTCGCGTACGGCACCTAATCGCCTAGCTTCACGCCACTACACGTCTTCCCCTCGGCCACCGGGCATCCCCAAAAAAGGATGCTTAATAACCGAGCTTATTACGTGCAGAGAACATGAAACCCGTCCACGCGATCCGCGCCACACAGCGTGGCCAGAATGCGGCAAAGGCCTTCAGATCTGGCTGTAGTAGGATGGTGAAAGTAATGGTACAGCATTGTAACAGTGAATAAGTACTGAGAAATAATTTCAAACTCATGAAACAACAACTATGAGTCCCAAGTCCCAACGTTGCAAATACTTGCCATAATTCTTTATTATCACTACATGTTTGTGTTAGGGGCCACGTGATAAACTGTATGTTGTAGTATAATATTCATTATTATCAGAAACTAAATATTTAAAAATAATATACTTTGTGTTTCATATATACCAATGTCTTGTTGACATGTTTGTGAATGCGTTTTGCAGAACCAATAAGATTAAACACCTTCTTCACAACGAAAGCTTTTCCCAAACTGATTTTATTTCACACGAACGCAATTTGCATATCAGTAAGAGTGTGTATTAATCTATTATGTCCTAACACACAGAATATTTTTTATATGTTTTTTGTTCTTGATATGGATACTGATTTCGCTGTGAACAAATAGTTACTTTTTATTGTTTGCGTTATTTTTTTTTATCATGTGAAGTCAGGTGAAACTTTGTAATGAGACAATTTATCTGTTGTGGTTCATACTATCATGAGGGAAATTCTCGTCTTGTCTCTATCACGTCTGCTTGAGGTACCGGACCGGGAAAGTCACTTAAGCTTTACAGTCAAATATACGCACACAACGAAATAAGTTTCAATAGCTAGTCTTTAGCCACACCGAGACTCTGTCGGAGACTCTGCCCAGGACTGACGAAGACTCTCTCGCCTCGCGGAGCTCTCTCTGGGACCAAGGACTAAGACCGTTTATTACGTATCAAAACTTAACCAATTACAAAGAAGTTAAAGTCTACAGACTTTAAACTTCAGACTTTGGCCTTCAGTCACACAGCCAATCACACGAGTGCTGGAAACGTCATATCTTTTGATTAATCGTCTGCAAATACTAAACTGTCAGAAATAGTCCGGATGGGTAACCATGTCATCAGGGTGTCATCCACGTCCGTGACTTCCACCACCAC